GGCTCTCAAATCAAATTCAGTAAACTAACTGAACATATTTTATTCCGTTGCCATCAAACAGCAAAGTAATCTAAATATAGACGACTAAACAATCTTGAGATGTGAACGAGACGCGTTTTTGGATAAATAGTAACTATGTATTCGCAAAATTCTCTCCAGTGAAAGATTGAAGACTCGAATTACCTGGTCTTCAATTTAATTGTACCTACCCTTGCTGTTTTCGGAATATCCGGATCTGCAAATAATGTACCTGGAGGGATTACGACTAACCTCGCGAGAGATCAAAACGGGTTGTGTGCCTTCTGCACTATTAATGTACCCCACTCTCAGGAAACCTTAGCAGATGGCGAAAAATTAATTTGCAAAACTGTTTTATGAAATCATGTGTCGACAGCAAGCATATTTGATTGTGAACATAGGAAAAATTTAATTAACAAATTCGAAGGAAGAAAAAACTCCAATAATCGGGAGTGTCTTAACCACCAAATTAACATACGTCGAAGAGTGGTAAAAATGTAAAGATTTTGAACAATTTTGGAATCGGAATATTACGAAGAACATAAATAATTGTTCAAATTTGCAGAAACTTAAGAACGTGATCAGTTTGTAACAAATAGCTTCAGAAATTTCATACGTGTACCGCTTCATAAGGAAAGAGAACAGAACTTATATTCGAGAAGATACATCGCGTTAAGATAAAAAAACAAGTGTTCAAGTAGATAAGGGTCCAAACGTCACAGTGTTGCCACAATCTCACAAACCTCAAAAGTTGCGTTCCGTTTTGTGCGCACGTGATGCCGAATTTGTATTGGTTAAGAGGACACGCTTTACGCAAAAGCTGCGGTCAGAAAAGGGGGTCGTTTCGTTTTGGGACTCGACAAGACATTTAAGTAAAAATCTGGTGGGAGAGCAAGATTTCTACTAGATTCAATGCCGGTCGAGTGCTACATTTTTCTGTTGCGTATTGTGTTCTTAGCCGAATCTTAGGTGCAATTGTACGAATCGTGAGCGCGGAGATTTGTAGATCGCGTAAAACGAAATTCGACGCCAAGTTGTAAAGGCGCGAGTATTGTGAATTGTGCGCCATTTTATAGATCGTGTCAGATTTCATTGTTAATTAAAAGTTCCAACCGAAAGAGTATAAACGCAGTGTGTGGGAGAATCGTTGGCCTTGCAACCGAAGACCGTGCCGCCATTTTGACCAGTTTATTGACGTGGGTACCTTTTAAATTTGTTACGAGTTGCCATTGTAAATAACTTAATAATACGTAGCTTCTTATGCGGAAAGAGAACGTCAGGGCGTGACGGAGGCGATCGGCTGGCAGATTTATCTTTTAACTGTAAATATATTGTGTGAAGAGTTACCGCATTAATACGCGAGCAAACATTTTCCGTTTCTGTGCATTTCTGGACTGTACTGCTCCTATTCAAATAAATTGTTGCCATGAAAGCGTTGGAGTCCAAGATGCAAAAAATTGCGTTGCGTTATTTTTCAAGTGGCTGTTTTATTTTTTTTTTATTTTTTATTTTTGCCTTTATTTTTGAGTGGGCGGGGTTTCAGCCAAGGCTGCTCTACCAACCCAACCCACTATACATTTACAAATATCCATGCCCGAACCCGGATTCGAACCAGGGACCCTAGCACCACAGTCCAGCTTCAACTGAACTGCGCCACACGGGCCGGCAATTGACAGAGCAATTTAATTAATCAAAGTTTGTGCATCTAATTTGTTTATAATAGGTGCTAATAACATTGTAAATAAACCGGTACAACCAAACCAAAGCATCAAGTTTTAATACTAATTCATTTCATTCATTTAATAATTCATTACTGAGCTAGCGGTGGTATTTTTTTATTTCATTACAAAAAATTTTACTGTGACTAGCATAGACCCCACTTGTATTTTCATCAAAAAATGGGAGGGGGCGGGTCATTTTTTACCCTAGTACGGAACCTTTCTTACTAAAGCGCGCGGTTAAAACTAATTATTACAGTAAAACTTTTACCAGTGCCGTAGAGATTAAAATTTATTTTCTATAGTTACAATCTGAAGAGTTTGAATAATATGAAAAAACCGAAGGGTTTGAAGAATCTTTTATCTTTTATATTATGACCTTGAATTATTCTTCATTTTAATGTCATTTCCTTGTCCGTCGCTAAGGGTGAATGAATATAGGAACATGTATAGAAGCTACCTGTTTAGGTTTTGGTTTGGGGGGTTTAATTCACGTTCACGTTCTGGTTCGCGTTCACGTTTGGATTCACGTTCACGTTTGGGCTCGCGTTCACGTTTGTGTTTGCGTTGACGTTTGGGTTGGCGCTCACTATCGAGTTCGCGTTCGCGTTTGGGTCCTGAAATGTGCCCTGTACTGGGTTCAGTAAATAACCTCTTAATAATTAATTCATTAAGCTCGTTTAACCTTGAAAATGAAACATGACACCACAAAGGTCACTGAACTTTAATGACCTTGTAAATATAATACATGACGTGATTAACCTTTGGTAACATTCAAAGTGAAATACGATAACACAACAAGTGGCCATTGTTCCTCCATGACCTTGAAAGCGAATGCCCTTGAGCTCCACCTATATCTACTTTTCAAGGTCACAGTCACGCGGTAGGCGGCGAGCAACTTTGAACTGGTCCAGGTTCGATATTGTATATCTGCTAACGTTTTGATAAATCAATATGAATTTGGTGTAGTAGTTTGCGCAGAACTAAGTTTTTGCCTTTCGGAAGTTCTAAGTTTTCGAGACAATTAGAATCCGTGGTTAGGACTAATAACAAGTTACGTAGGGAAACGCAATTCTTCCTGCCAGTAGATAATAAGAACCACAGCGAAAAGATTTAATCACGCCCCCATCTACAACGAAATCCTGACGAACGGCACTGCACTACAGTCCTACTTAGATCCCCACTTCATTAAACTAGGGAAATATAGGAAGTATGTATTATCTTCTCGGGGGGGGGGGGGGGGGGGTATGATCCGAAAATCACCAACTCCAGGAAACATTATTTAAGAGGTACTGTCGAATTTTTTGTTGTGGTTAAAAATAAAAAATTGTTTTTGTTTGACAAAATTGAGTAATAAGAAAAAAAATTTAAAATGTAATAATGACTTTAGGCCTTTAGGCTTTAGCCTTAGGGTATTTTGTGAAAATCTAAAGCCAGTTTCAAAATTTGTTTTTGCGCACGCGCAGTTCCAACTTTTTTATTTATGGAAGCATTTAAACGAAATTTGATACATAGCCACTTGGAACAAAGGAAAATCTAAGGTTAGTATCACAATTTAGGTTTGCGCATGCGCATTGCCAACTTTCTTATTTATGAAAGCATTGAAATGAAATGTAGGTGAAGTGGATTTTGAATTTAAATTTGTTTTTTACTTCGGCGTCGAAATTAAGACAGTCGTGTATCGCAATATGATTTGCTTCTATAATAAAGCCGCGTGCTCCCGAGTGGTTGCAAACATTCTAGAACAAAATATGTCATATTTCTCGGAAAGATTACGTCATTCTTTATCGCCGATGACTCATATTGTATGGCGCCTGGATGTCTATCGAGATTTCTGGAATATTCCGTCTCGAATGACGATTGTAGCGGAGACACAGTCCCAGGCAACTAGGTATTGTTCTATAACGCGAACTTTCCTGCAATGCAGAACGTTTCTTGATCCTAATCACGCTGATGGTCGGAGACAACTTTTAACGGATACTTCTCCATTGTCCTATTCATGCGTTCTACCCTAGGTTCTACCATTCCGTCTGTGGGTGTAAAGCCGTGCTTCTGGTTTTTGCGAATGACCAATAGTTGACACAGGTTTTGGAATAGCGCCCACTCAAAGTTTCTTCCCTGTTCAGAGTATAGTTCCAGGGGTACTTCAAATGTACTAAAAAGTTATTTTACCAGAACAAATTTCGCAACAGGAAGTTCAGATCATTTAAGATAGGTAAAGGGCTTGCATTCTAGTAGACTTTCCCCAATATAGGCTGCCTCAGTTGAAGGAGTGTGGGAAGTTTCCAAGCGCGTTTTTCAACCACTCCAGGGAATGGTTATTTTCGCACGAAATCCTCAAGATTTCAGTACCTCCATTCCTTTGATATGGGTGCCGAGGTGTCGCCAACAGGTGCTGCTCAAGGACTTTAGCCAGTGGATCTTTGGTATTAATGATCGCTATTTTACGTTGCCTTTTGGCACCATTCTTATAGCTATGTTAGGCGCGTGACCGCCCTCCGTTTTTTGAGGATGGTCAGTCGTCGAGTTTTACGACCTAGGCATCTTCTTATCTACAGTTAGGTGCTTGCCTGCCTGCCCTGGTTTTCCTTTAGATGGCGGTAGCCGCACAAGATGTGGTAGGGTCAAAGGGTCAAGTGTAATTTTGATCTAGTTGGGCTATCCTGGCTATGCTTCTCGGCATCTGAAACGCGCTTATCCTTCGCTGTTGGTTTAGAAACCCGCAATTGATTTGCAGGTGTAGGTGTAACGAGTCTTCTGTGTGTTTTTTTTAATTTTGTCGCTACCGGTGTTAGGAAAAAGTAAACATAGTAAATCTCAATAATTATAATAATATAACTAGGGTGAGGGTGAAAGCGGCAGGCGTGATTTGGTATCGAACGGCCTACTTTAATAATTAAAAAAAGTTAAAAAATGAATATTATCTGCATGTTAGATTTGTGATATGCTCCAAATGGGCTCACTAGTTTAATAACATAGTCCCGGACAGTAGTAAAGAAGTTGAAACATCACCTACTTTGCTTCATTTGAGATGAATTTGAATTTTTTGGGTTTTTGGCATAAAAACGAATCTTTGACGTTGATACGGGTAACTCACCAAAACCGCTAATAAATGTAAATATTTTAAAATAAAATATACTTTTAATCGTTACACTAAATGTCACCAAAAAATTTACGGCTTGCAATTTCGCGCTATTTTCGAATTGCGAAACCTAAAAACGTCCTCGGTTCGGACCGATGATTAATGAGTGCTTCATTTTTCAGACCTCTCCGACGATTTGCTGAAGGAAAAAGAAGAGATATGCCGCGAACTACTGAAGTTACTTGAAATGTTGAGAGCGGGGCAAAGCAAAATGCGTGGGCTAATTTTATACGAATTGTACCGCTGCATGCAGGAATGGAAAAGGCGTTACCGTCTCGCGGTAAGGATTTTTGCTCATTTAAATTCGAGGCGAGTTCATTTAATTAACTCTCCTTCACTTGTCAAATTTATATTAGAACTCTCGAGAGATATCAATCAAATGTTTCCCGTCTAGCGAGTTGCGGAATATTGAATTGAAAACGTGTCTATTCGTAACAGTATTATATAATGCTGGAAATGCCGTTCTCCCGTTTTCCGTTTTCCGCTAACATATCTCTGTATTTTCACTCAACATTCTCATGTCCTTGGTATTGGCGTTGAATAACTAATAATTTTCACTTTCAGGATGACCACAGAGCACTGTTGGAAGAAGCAAAGGAAATTTTGAAAGATGACGTTAACGCTCCCAAGGAAATACAAAATGGTATGGAGATTAATAGTAATATGGAAAATGGGTTTTAATCCTCAGTTTACCGTTACTTGATCTAATTTTCAATCGTATACCGAATTTAATATCAAATTAAATCGAAGTACATAATTGATATTAAAATTCTATGGTGCCTATTGTAATTAGAAAGTTTAATTTTTAGTTACTGCATGGATACATAGACACGTTCATGACGAATATACCAAACAATTTATAAATAATATAGTATGATTTTCAAAGGTGACAGAGAAATTAATGTTATAATTAATTTTTGAATTTGGAAGAGAGAAGGTGTTTACCGGAGGTGTTCTACATTTAATTTTTTAAGGTACGTTTGGTTTGATGCAAAAATCTCGATGAAAGCAATTCAGTTTTTCATACATTTTTTTAATATGGCTTTAGTGTGTATTTTAAATAAATTGTAGATACATACATAGTACCTAAGTTAAAATTACATACATTTTTCTTATATAAGGCATCAGTAGCCTAAACTAATAAATCATTGGCCCACTTTCTAGGTATTTTTTAAAATCTCTCGAGTTTAATGTAAAAAGACCTATAATATTATTTTGTTATGGCTTTAGTTATGACCAGTGTGTAGGCCATATGCTCCATGTCTGACATGTTTTCTTCAAACTTATGATTGAGTGACTGGTGTAACCGAATTGGTAGATCTTGCTATGGTTACAATACCCCTATTAATGTAACAGTTGTTTTTAAGGTTTCAAGGTTAATTTCTACCTTAGATTAGTAGTACAGTGCTATTTGTATTGTATTGTTTTTTTCTATGTCTACTTTTAATGACAAAGTCTCTTCTGAAGGATGCCTAATTTTATGCAACCAAAATAACTTCTTAAAACAAATAAAGATCTGGCTGTCACATTAATTAATTAACTTGAATATTGTTGCTTTGGCTTCCGTATTTTTATTTTCGTTGGTGTGCCATGTATTCCTATTCAACTGAAGAAAAAGTTGATATTGTCAAGAGCCGGTAACAGTTTAAGGAGCGTAAGAGATTTGACATCCCCAGCATATCAGTGGCCTGTTATTTCCGTAGAACATAAAAGGGTTTTCAGCAGTAGATAATACAAGTAGTTTTTACGAGTGTTTAAATCTGTGTTCAAATGCTGTGTTTAATTTGTGGTGAACGTAGTAGTACAGCAACTGCAATTCCATTCCATGGGTAAGTTACAAAATATGTACCTACTTCGTAATTTAATATGAAGTGACACCTTTTTTGCCCTACCTATGGTTTTCAACCGTTTACATTCCGCTGCTATTGCGCATGTGCGGTGTTCTACCTACGGTGTAAATAAACTATCTGTCTGTGTGACTGGTATCGAGCAGACGTTCCTTATTGTAACTAAATGGGTGGAATATATATGATCTAAGATTTCTACCAATTCGCCGCTTTTGGTTAAAACATGGCAATCTAGAAATCTTCTTTTAAATCTAAATAAATCATTCAATTATCTCAAATTTGATTCTTTTGTTTTAATTTAAAATAACAATATGACGGTACAACACCATCTCAGTTGAAACTTGCGGAAAATGATGCCCTCAAGGTAAGTAGGTAAAAGTTTCAGAGGTCCTACCAAAGAGGATATCTAAACTCCTTTGAAATAGCAATTTATCGATTACGATTGATTATTCGATTTCCTAATCTTCCGTAGTTTTAGCGTTGAATTTGCCCACCAAGGCCATGTAATTTTCAAGGTCACTTTTAACAAAGGGATTTTATAGCACCAATGATGAGTCACCTGTTCTACAGCTACATTGTTACATGTTTGCATCCCAACCAGTTGTTTACTTGGAACTTGTTTTTGCCTGTTTTTTTATCATGTTTTGTGTAGGTATGTGATTTTTCTAGGTTTCTTGTTTGTTGTATAAGCAAATTGAAGTGTGTTTAGTCTTGGTCTTAACATCGATGAAATGATACATCATGAAATTCGCCATCCTGTTATAAACTTATAACTGTATCTGCAAGTAAATGATAAATATTGAAATGCTATAAAGCAATCTCTTCAAGAAAATTTATAAATTTAGTTTATTATTAATAGTCTTAGTTACTGTGAATATTAATAATTAATTTTATACATATAAACCACTATTAAATTTACGTTACAATGAGTAACTGTTCCACACGTTCTTAAAATTGTTATGTTTTTGACACCTACATTGCAGGATTAGCACCATGGATATTAATCATGAACTTTGATGGATACTTGTACACCTAATCGGTGAGACGTTTGAATGTCCGCATACAAAAGAGAAACAAGTATAAATTGTGCACAACTCTTGTGCAGATAAAGCGCATTTTTTTAACCGAAGTAGCTTTTGTTTTGACATCACCAATGGATATATTTATTGCAGACGTCTCAATCGCCCTTTGTGAGTACCCTCTTCCGACAATCCGTTCTTGAGGTATAAGGGAATATACCCGATCACGATAAGAGGTCGAGGAGGAAGGCTATGGTTGGTAGAAATTCATTCCTTTCGTTGAGATCTTTCATTAGAGTACCATGAAGGAAAAAACTAGTTCCACCCCCTCACCCTCCACCCCGTACTTTGATAAAAGGACGGAAAGAAGGGCAGTAGTTGGTAGAAAACGATTCCTTTCGTTGAGACCTTTAATTAGAATACAATGACAGATAAAATTAATTTTTAACCCCCTCTTTTAGGCCCCGTCACTCACTGATCTCGAAAAAGAGTTATAGTTTGTACAAACCAATTTATTTCAATACCTTTCATTAGAATACCATGAAGGGTAGAACATGTGCCCCCCCCCCCCCCCCCCCCCCCCCCCCCCCACAGTTTCCTAAAGCTTACCTTAGCACCACCACGGACGGACGGACGGACAAAATGCAAACAATAGCACATTTTTTTCATTCTTAAAAAATACGCTAAAAACCAATGTTATACCGTATATTTGCTTTTCCTCAGATCGCAAATCGGATTGACTGGGACTAATAATACATGTGTCAGAGAGGATTACATGGTATTAATAATGTACAACATTATTAGTAACAAATTTAATGAAAATATTTGCATTTAAAGATTTTGTACAATTTTGGCTAGAAAACTAGAGCGCTCAATCATAGAGTACCAAATATTTTCCCATCAGGATTAAAAGGCCGTATAAAAACCTACGCACACATATCACTTTTGCATTGTAAATAAAGCTACCTTATAAATGAAGACAATTTCACTAAAATAAGACACAGCTCCTTGGTCAAGTGGTTTTCTGCACTGCAGAAATTAAGAGTTTTTGTAATATATCAAAAGATATATCGATATATCATATATACAAATGTCTAAATTGAAAACTAGCTACACATTTCCATTTCTGGCCTCGACTATGTTAGTTCTTCTCGCCTGCCATCTTTGTAGTGGGGGAATGGCAAACAAAATAAGTCCACTGATGGCAATTGTAACGCCCGATACGTAAAAACCGGGGTCGTACGATGCAAGGGAGTCGTATAGTTCACCTGTAATTATAAAATTAGTTAATTAAATTGATAGTTATAGAAAACATGGCACGTGTAAGTAAATACGGAAAGTTTCCACCGGGTTACCTAAATATTGTTGTAGGGAAGAACTCACATAAGCGCTTATAATGAAACCTTTTCGCGCATAAAACTTTATCTTCAATTTAAATAGTGTTCAGCAATTGACAAAGTCAATTTGCATCACAACTGAGAAGTACTAATGGGATAAAAAATTAGGTCCCATCTTCAGTAAGCCTTGTGTTTCAACAACGTATTAAGACTGACCTGCTATTGGAGGACCAATCAAAGATGCAATCCCTTGGAACAGCAGTAACAGCCCGAATGCATTCGTCAGCTTTTCTAAGCCTAGAAGATCAACCAATATTACTGAAGTAAGGCCTACGTATGCGCCGATAGTGAAACCAAAAATGGTACCATAAAAGGCCAGTGAGTAAAAGTCAACGCAGAAGGCACTTAACGCGGTAGCTGAAATGAAAGCGATTATTCCAGGTTACCCGAGAGAGCCAATGGTTAATCGTACCTACACCGCAGATGGTAAGGCACATGTTGTATACGAAGAGTCTATTAATTTTCGGATTGTCGGAGACGTAACCTAAGACTATTCTCCCTATCGTGTTTGCGATTCCAATAATTGACAATAGTATGCTGGCATTATCCGAGGATATGCCGAGGGATTTCGCTTTTGAAACAATGTACACGTAAGGAATGTTGAATCCGATACTAGTGCAGAAGTTACTAACTGTAAAGAGTATAAAAATAGGATCCTTGAGCAGTGAGAGATTTAACATTTCATAAAGCGTCTCTTTGGTCTCCTCGGAGCATGGAATAAATCCGCAAACGGTCGTCTTTGTTTCTTCCGTCTCAGAATGCTTGTGTCTACTGTGAATTGATGGTTTTCTGATCATCTTTTCAACTTCCGATGCCTCTTTTACATCGAGTTTCGATTTAAAGATGGCAAGGTTTTGAATGCTGTACTGATAAAAGGCGTCCTGCCTGAAAACAGGACGGGAGCGTTTTAGATTTTGACTTCCATAGCGATGGCGTAACGGTTCATAATGCGACGAGTTTAATGCCGGTTGACTTCTGCTAAAGTTGTAACTCATCTTTCCATTTTTCTGAGGGTCTAATAATAACGTCATACTTTTGGGACGTTTCATATCGCTTTTACTGCTATTGCCTCCGTTAGCATACACGTCTATACGATCATGTGAAACACTCAAATCTGTTTTGGGAGAGGTATGCGTGTTACCAACTTCACCCTTGGGAGGTTTAACATCATATTCCAATGGTCGAAATAAAGCACCGAATATTATACATTCTAGCACGAGTGCCGAAACAATTAACATGGCACCGCGCCAGCCGTACTCTCTCAAAAGTAGATTGATCAGTGGGGCAAAGATGAACGTTCCCAATCCCGAGCCGCATACTGCAATGCCTGTCGCGAGCGATCTTTTTTTTTCAAAGTAGGTCGTGACACTCACAATGGCCGGGAGGTAAATTAAACCGAAACCCAATCCGGTTCCTATACCAATAGTGAAGTACAGCGTTGTCACGTTCTGGGCAAACGAACTTATTATCATGCAAACGCTGCCTAGAATCGCACCTGCAATTGTTACCGCCCGACAACCCCATCGGTTAACGAAGGCACTTGATATCGGACCTGAAACAAGAAAATTGTATAATCAAAAGACGGAAATGTAACCCCAACTTGGTGAAATATGGTAGAATTAAACAACACAGTAGGTACCTATATTTGACATACTACACAACTGCGTTCTGCGTAACCTTTAGGTAATTTTGTTTCGATGTAAACACACATTTTAAACTTTGTACCACGAAAACGACATAAATATTTGTAAATCCTCACTTCCTCTTTGATTTGTCCTTTCATAATTAGAACACACCAATTCTAATCAAAATTCCAAGGTTATTGTCTTCGTTACTCAGTTTCTGGTCGCTCGAAATATAGAGATTCAAATAGCCTAATTCTTTGTTCCTTAGCTACAGCTACCATTCGAGAGTGAATGTGTAAGTAAATATGGAAAACTTCCAAATGGTCACCTAAATATTGCTGTGGGGAAGACCGGTACGTTCTTATCCTAATGTAAAGCCAATATTAACATCCAGTGCGTATTTGCGATATGATACTCGTCACTTTCCAACGGAGTTCGAATTCGATGCTATTCCCTCATAACAAATTATAATGTAGGGTCATCACTAAGTCTAACGTTCTAACAATTGTACTCGATGTGCATTTATCACGACGATTAGTAGTACATTTAACAGTATGCGCCAAATTACGCGAATTCGCCCAATTATATATACATACCATACCAATTAAGCCCAAATTTACAAGAAAATTTCATGTTTTATATATGTAATTCGAAAGTGAAATAAACATTATTAATATAAGCGGGCCTTTTCAGTCCTGGTTTGTATAATGAAAGTGTTCCTCCATATTACTCAGCCTTAGAAAACGTCAAACGCGAATGAAATGGACATCAAGTAGGAAAGTAGGAAATAAGGGGTTGTTGAATAGCAGAGGCATTGAGGGGGGCCACTCCCGAATTCTGGGCGAGGCGATCAAGCGTCTGCCTATCCTAGAGGGGAGATCGGACTCACTCACTCCTCAATTCATATTAGGGAAAAACTATCACATCTTCTTTGATGAGAATATGGCATCCCAACCAGATATATTCATCTTCACGGATGGATCTATGACAATGGAAGGTACAGGCACTGGTATTTACTCCAAAGAACTGAACTTCCATATCACCCAACCACTAGGTAAACTTCCTACTGTATTCCAGTCAGAGTTGGTAGGATTAACGCTTAGTGCAAGAACAGTTCTTATGCATAACATAAAGAACAAAACTATCAGAATCTCAAGTGACAGCAGGGCTGCCTTGCAGTCACTTGGTCACTGTAAAATTACCTCTAGGATGGTTTCCGAATGTCACCACGTACTAGAGCAAGTAGCAAGCAGCAACACCCTTGAGCTCGTATGGGTCAAAGGGCATGCTGGAACGGAAGGTAATGAGAAAGCCGATAAATTAGCCCGACTGGCCTCAAAACAGGCGTTTTATGGTCCAGAGCCGGCTCTTCCACTTACAGTTAAAACTGTAAACAACCTAATAACTCAAGACGCCCAAACCCAGCACAGGGCTAGGTGGAACTTGATGTTAGATTGTCGCCATGCGAGAGAAGCCTTCAGAGGACCATCTCGTAGCTTGGCGCGTTTTTGTACAGGGCTATCAAGGAAGAACCTGAGGTTACTCGTGGGCATACTTTCTGGGCACTGTAAACTAAAGAAGCACATGCACTGCATGGGTTTGGTGGAATCACCATCTTGTAGAGGATGTTACACAGACGACGAGACGGCATACCACATACTCTGTGAATGTCCCGCTCTAGTCCAACTGAGACCAGAGAGATCCATGTTGGGGGAATCCTGGCCGGACATGGCTACGATTAGAGCCGCCTCCCCTTCCAGCGTCCTAAGGTTCATCTCACGTGTGGGATGGCTTGAGGGATGCTGAGGGGTCGGGCGACCCTAGTCAGGGAGGTAGTACAAAGGGCCCGAATTTGAGGCCTAAGTACGCGTGGACACTGTTCACCCTCCTATCGTAATCCAGAATCCAGAATCCAGGAAAACAATTTACAGGATTGTCATGGCAATGATGTAGGAAAAACATTTTGACGTTAATTGAATTCTCAAATGTTGGATTGCTTTATGGCTTCCGCTATAAAATAAAATTTTGTATTATACACGACGACAAAGGTCAATAAACCATATCGTTTCGTAGTTTCTTTTATTTCATTTATTCTTCTTGTACCTAATAAATAACTATTACAGAATAACTGATTGCAAGTCGATTGATCAAAGTCATAATAACGTGTTTAAGTAGCTTGAATGGTTTTAAGCAAAAGAGGGACTTTGTGGATGCCGTGATTCATAAAACGTTTATGTATCAAATAACAGCCAAATATTAAGTTTGGGATCATCATCGACAATCGAAGAAAATCAAAGTCGATAAAAGGTTTGAGAGATGAGTAAGTGCTCAAAAATCCTTGCGCGAATTTTAATTCCAACTTAGTACACCATCCCCCACTTCGAAACCCTCTGATATAAATGAAATATTTGCCTTAAATGTAACTTAGTAGGCAAAAGGACTAGTCCTTTTTATATGTGCCCAGCTAGAGGAACGATTCTTTCTCTTTGTTTTAGTAAGACCTATGTTTTTTTCTCTTTTAATCATTGCGGCGATTGCGAAACTTCTCCCTTCAGGGTACCGATATTCGGTGACGAATTTTTCCAAACGTGAACTCCTAAGTCTTTCTCCGCAATTTAGTTAAGTTATTCACTCACTCAAAATGTAAAACTTCTCGCCCAAAGTCTTGGGACGCCCATTAAAGCTTCATACCACAGAACTTCACGTGCGACCTTTTCTTTGGGGTAGCGTATTGAACTTGGCGTCTTTTACTTCGCGCTCGACGGTTTACTCCGGAACGCCGGGAAACAAAACTACTATGTTTAACCATGCGGTTGATGTTCTGATGGCCCCAAACCGAATGCCCTACTTCGAACCTAACTCACTTGCCTTGCTCCCCTTTTGAATTCTTCAGCACGCCCCACAATGGAGCCAATTAGTTAAGGCGACCATCTTTAATTATGAACGAATCGAATTTGTTCATTTACTTTAATCAAATGCGTATAAAGACCGCTCATCAAAACCCACGGCCGTTTAGTATTGCCAATTCGGCGTTTCCCACGAAACCCGCTTGATGTCACCGTGGGCAATTCTGACTGAGCTCTTGCGGGCACGTAAAACCCATTAGGATAGTATTATCGCTCGTTAGACTGTCACTTTTACAAGTGATTAATTCGGAAGCCGGTGACTCACAAACTCATCCAATTCCTCTGCGGACATGGAGAACTTGGCTGGTATCTACAACAGATTGGAAAGAGAGGGGACGGAATGTGTTTTGATTGTGGCAACTTTGACGGAAAGGAGTACCCGGTCGGATTAGAGTGGCGACTCAATGTGGTGTCGAGGAGCCTGGATAATAAAAAAAACCGGTTTTTAAATTTTCTCGGTTTCTTTATTTTGAATTACAATGGCTTGTCCCTCGTAACAATAGGACATTAATTACTATGCCATGTTATTTTTGCTTACTATATATGGCACATGTCCAAGCGGATGAATTGCATTTATTGCCTACCCACGCGTGTAATGTGTCGAATGGGTTCAAGGAAAAGCTATTATTAAAAAATGTATGGGACACTAACTTTTGCACCAAAGTTGATTTCCTCGTCATGCGGAGGTGTTATGCGTGGTACATTTATTTTTTAAATGAAAGCTTTTGTATGTTTACATTTATGCCAAGCGTTCCCAAACCTAAGGAAGTATTTATAATCTCATTTTTAGATTTGGCACTTGCAAATGAAAGTGAAGTGATTTTACGTTTTTCCATGATAAATAAATACGTTCATACATATTAATATTTCGGATTGCACTCTACATTTTCCTTACACTGAAAACTGATTGTCATTAGTTGCAATTTGAAGGTTTTATTGTCAAAAGGTAGGTAAATGTAGTCTTTTAAGGCAGGTATGATAATTATTAATTTAAATCGTATTTTAAAAAGCGAATATCTCAGTGCTCAAAATATACAGGGTGATACATATAGTATCCTAATTAATTTATTAAACGACATCGTGTCATCGCCCTCTGTTGAATGTTTGTTTGCGTTAAAAAATGGGATTGAATTTATTATTGAATTAGGAAAAACCGCCACGGTGTTTTATGAAATGGTTGATGAGTGCTTCAGGCGTGGAAAGTGTTCGAGTGGTACAAGATATTTAGGGTGGTCACGAAGTTGCTACCGTCGATGCGCGGGGTGGAAGTTCTCGCACATTGGGTACATATGAAACTGTTGCAAAAAATCAGGAGGTTGTTCGCGGTGATTGTCGTATAAGAAGTCTTGGTGAAATGATAAAGTTTTAATTGAAAATTTGGAAATGAAAAAAGTGTACGCGAAAACGGTCCCAACGCTTGTTGGTTGTTAGTGTTAAGCAAAAGGAAACGATTTGCTGTAGACGATTTTGAAAACCATCTGAGGGGAACCAGATATCCTACAAAAAAGATAACTTGCGAGAGATGCATTTTTCAATAGGCGGAGGCGGTAGATGACGAAATGGAGAAGGTGGATTCGGTAGGGTTAGAAGAAAAGAAATGGTCGTTCCTTCAAGCCAAAAAAGCATTCCCAAACCTGTAAAAGCCGGGTTTGGATTCCGGGATCATAGAAAAACTGGACCAGATAGTTAAACGCCTGGACAAGTAACGATACCACCGGGAAGTAGAGAGTAGTGGATCGGAAAGGCAACGACTAGTTGTTCTGATGTATCAGACTTCATAGTACAAGCTGCATTGGGAAACCGAACGCAGATAAAGATAACAAGGATGCCGCCAAGGGCGAGGAAATGGAAGTCGAGTAAACAAAGTATTCACAACCTGGATGAAGACGCAGTTCGTCATTTTATAAATTTGTGCAGAAGCAAGTTAACCAGAGTTGTGTGAGAAGTTGTAAAGGTTCTCTCCTTATTAAAAGTTTCTACCGTCTGAACAGCCACCGAAAATTTTTCGTCTTATTCAACCAGATTTGTTTGTCATCTAATTTTGTGTTATAAAGCAAAGTGAAGTTCAGAGACAGTCAGCTTTTGTGTATGAGTTAAATCCGCCTGGTAGCGCAAACTGCAAGTAATTTAAATTTTTTTACTTTAATTGTCGACCGCCTGCGTGCGGGTTAATATGTGCAAACATGCTTTGTAAGCTTTTATTTCTTTCATTTGTTTCGGAATAAATTTTTGTCATTGTCATCAGCATCTAAACCCCTAGTGGTAGTACGAAAAGGAGGAGGTTGGAGCAATAAAACCAGTGGGTGGGATACATATCGTAGTTCACTCACAGCGTACAATAAAGCCATAATAGGAGCAAAGAGAGAGTAGTGGAGAAAATTCTGCGAGAGCACCGAAATGGCGCCCGAATCAGCAAAACTCCAAATGGTTCTTTTAAACGAACACGAAAGGAAATATGAATTTTTCGGAAAAGTGAAGTTGCACTGAAATCGAGAAAGACACATTCCGGGTCCATAACCTTACAACCTAACAGAAACGGGGGCAGTTATAACCTGCACATTCCAGTAGGATAGCAAGCAGCGAAAACTATAAGAACTAGCAAACACGATCATAAATCGTCAAAAATTATATAGACATATAAAAAGTTTCAAACATTTAAATCTCGGGGATTAGACATAATTTTCCCAGCACTTCCGCAGAAAGTAGTGAAACTATTGTCTTCCAAAGCATGGACACTCTTCAGGGTCAGTATTGCCCTGTCGTTTGTGCTCCTAGCAAATTACAAGTGGTACAATCAATCAAGTCTGTTGAGACTGTTGAGTTAAAACCAATCTGCCTACTAATTGGGAAAATCATGTGCGCCTGGTGCAAAAGCGTGTCGTCTTCTTTGTTTCCTGAGTTAAGTAACGAACCTGATCTAGGCAAACAGGAATTTTTCTCCAACTTAAATTAATTTAAAAATTAAACGCTACTAAAATAATTACTAAATTGCAAGAAAAATAGAACAAACAAGAAAATTGCGAATGTCTTACAGCAATGGGGTTTTCCGCGTTTTTTCAAAAACCTTGAAAATGACCTCCAAGCACATTAAAAATATTAGTGGTACTCATTTTTTTGTCAAGAGAAATCGTTGTGATTAGCAAACACGATTTTAAAATGAACGGCGTTTGAAAAGTTTCGAATGACCGCCACATTGCAGTGACGTCACTACGCGCGTTGGCGCTCAGCCGTAGCATTGCTTACAATCGATTCAGAGAAAGAAAACGTCGTTTTGACGGAAAAAAGCGTCGAATAATTATTGCATTTGTACCTGAGTGTGATAGCAGAAGTCATCGCGAACCTAATAAATTGTATATAAACGTCCCAACAGGAAATATACGAAAAAAGTTCGACGTGATACCGCGAATTTGACATCCCATTTGTATTGTTGTGAAGACGATTCTAATTAATTAAAGTGCATAATGTCGATTTACTTTCAGTCAGTTATCGACGAAAATCCATAGATATATAATATTGTAATTGTAATTCAGAATATGATTTACTTCGAACTCTGTTCTGGCATTGAATATAGTGTTTTTATTCAATGGTTCTGGGCATATCTGTGCCCTTACAGCGCACACATTTTTCTCTATTTTCACTTCCACATATCCAACACCCTAATTTTCTCGTTGAAATCCGTAAGGTGCATACTGTATTAGGTACCTACACTATACCTTGCACTATACACACATAACTTGATGTTATACTTCCTATGAACCATAACAGATTTGCTTGTGGGCTTTGACTCCACTCAACCGAGTGGCATGGAAAAACTCACTTTTCGAGAAAAAGGCGGCGACCATTAACACTTCAACCTTTGGCAGACTATCTAACTTTACGAACCAGTCAGAACTCGGTTTATGGCAGATTGCCATAATAAGTCGAATCGAACTCCTATCAGTGTCATGCACTAATATAACTCCCGATCGGCAACCCGCGTAGTGACGTATGCGACGCTCGGCCAATATCGGCATGTCGTCGGTTGCATGACAAAATTTGAAAGTTTTACGATATTATATGTTGTTTATTGACATGCTGCAATTAGGAAAAAAAGTTTTGTATATGAGATGTTTAATTACAGGTTATAAACTTTACAGTAAGACACAAAAAAGTTACAATATTTTTTTTCAGGAAGACCCTGCACTTTCACGTGCAATTTTAACAATACACGGAGCAACTTTTCGTGCAATTTCGTGCGGCAATGAATTGCTGCAATAATTGCAATAAAAATTGCATCCTCTAATACAAAGAATACATAAAGTTTTAAAAACAATATTCCTTACCTGAACATAATGTTATTCCAACAAGTATTGAAAGAATCCAAGCGGTTGGCCCTTTTCCTTCATTGAAATAACCCAAGAATTCATCGTAAAATACACCAAACGAGTAGGTTACACCATCCGCTGAAAGAAAAAGAAATCATATTAGCTAAAATTGCCACATTATTCACAGATTTTAAATCTAGCCACTCGAGATAAGATCCGAGCTATTGGATGCGGACAGTTGAAATTTTCACGCTCCTATGCGCATTTAATATAGTAAAAAGTGGAAAAGCTCAATCTACTTCTAAAGCGCTTACAGCAGAAATATAGTGCACTCAAAGCGGAAATCGCTCCAATAATGACTGTATTTCAGAAAACGAGTCTTAATGAAAGTTATTATGACCACCCGTGGAAAGATCGCATTTTCAGCCTGTCTAAAAAGTATCACGTAGCACCTTTCGGAACAACTTATATCACGTAATGCCTTGTTCAACAGCATTAAAATGCAACGCAGCACCGGCAGTGGCTAATAAGTTCATATTTAATTGACGCGAGCTTGAATCCTAGGAAACATTAATTATTACACAGTACACTATTTACATTTTGAACAATTAAACGGTTAGACAGGTACCAGACATTGGAAATGGATTAACCAATAAAGCACAACAAAAGGATCATTCGACCTGAGGATAATCCGCTTTTGATTATATTTTGATATGAGAAAGTTTTCAGTGTTCTATATAGCACCGCACCGAACGACCGTTTCAGTTGCAAGTCTCATTAAAGTTGCAAAGTAAATAAACCAAATCGTTTATTGGTTGAAAAAGTTTTAATTGAATATTCTCGTATGAACATGTGCAGTACATTTAGTTGCAAAATGTTTGCATGCATGCTGAGCTGAGTGATGCATTCGGTTTGAGTATACAAAGTGATACAATAAATCTGTGGTGATACTAATGCAGTAGGGCTTTGGGAAGCTTTTGATTGAAAAAAAAAGGGAAAAATATCTTTTTCTGCAACCACCTGGTCGAGTATTTGTCACAATAGTAGGTAACCGTACGAAAAAGCTGTTAGTAGGAAAAAGTAATGACCTTGGCAATAAAAAAAAATTACTTTTCAGACTCGCTCTTCTTCGTCCCAACAACGGGAATTTTTGTACTTATGAATAATTATCTAGGCCTAGAAAAAATTCGATACGTCATTTGATTGGGCGTAGTCTATAAAACTACAAAAGTTCATAACATGAATTGTTTAGAAGATGGGGTCGATGTTTCAATTTTTCGAAAAACACTATTTTTGAGTGTTACCTGCTCAGTATTGTTCTGCAGCTCGAGTAATGATGGGCCACCCGGTATACACAATTTCAATTTTAGCATTGGAAATGCTTATGTTTTGTATGGGTATGAAGTTACCAGGTTTGCCGAGTAGAAAAGAAACAAGTGGTGTCGCGTCTAGTGTTGATTGTACCGTACTCGACTGCAATCGGTAGATTCAGGAAAAGTCACGGATACTGTCGATACGGTACTTACTTAACAGTGCGCAGGGGTTTTATCAATTCGAACTTAAAATTCTGACTCATCTCCCGTGATAGTATGACAAGCATGTTACGCCGCTTATTATTCAGGAAGTTTACGTTTACGACACGAGCGAGAGCAGCAAGATTATCCCGTGTGAATAAGGGTTATTTACGTCTTTATAGGTTATACGGTTATCATTTCCAATGTCTCCGATGGTTGCACGTATTGCGAAATCTATGAATTTTTTTTATTAACGTCAGATGCGGTCATGGGTTGGTACTGAGCGCAATGCAGGTTATGCCGTTTGATTTCGGGGTCGATTTAGTTTTGTATCATAATCATTAGTTGTTAATTTTGTTTAAATAATTGCTTTGTTTATGTTGTGTATTTTTATGTTATTTTGGTGATAGTAGGATAAGGAACATCTGGAACATTTGCGTAGTAATTGTAAAAGTTTATCTCCGATCTACGATAAGAACTGTTATCGCTGCGTACGCTAATTAAATTGCAAGATCAGGACGTGTTATCGCCGTTAAGAAACATAAGCCCAGTTTGATTTTTTGAAGATGCGCATTATTTTGTAAAGAAAGGGGGATGGAATGGAAAGCAAGGAATTTGACGTTACACGACACCTAAGATAGTTATAAAGTTTTATACATTTGAGAAAGTTAGATGTGTGTTATAATCATTACGACGATAAACGTTAAGTCAAGTAAATGGAAACGCGTTTTACGTCTACGAAGGAGTTTCCCACTACCCGTCAAAGAGAGTTTTGTTTGTGCGTTTGTTTGTTTGAAAATGGCAGTTACGACCGGAGATTTTGGATTATTGGCAGTAAGGTAAGATTTGCTTTAATGTCTATCGATCGCTTGTAGCGTGGAATATGTTTATCTGGCCCTGAGTGCCTGTTTTTCCTTTTCAAATAAATTTGTGTCTGTAAATGATTTTTGTAGTTAATAGAGCTCACATTACAACCCAGGTAAGTGTTCTCATGATAATTTTTTTATTTCGCACCCAGAATTACGACAGGTGTGAATTAAAAATTTATTTATTAATTTTTTGGAATTTTTTTAATTAACCAGGCAGAAAGATGTAGTCCGATGTAGAAGTGACAGTTTCCACTAACTAAAGTTATTAGGAAACAAATAAAATAGCACGATAAAGACACTTGTCTTTATTCTTTAAATGGCCTGAAACAATCTTTCGATTGAAATATTAAGAGAAGGGTTTCGTGTGATAATTCAACCATCAGCCGTCTACTTTTTCTTTACGAGTTTGCATTTTGCAATCAAATTCTTTTTTAACTCAGTTGCTCTTGTTTTTGTTCTTGTCATTCGTATCCTTGCGTTTGTAGTATTTTTTAATTCCCTTGTCGTTGCGCTTATTGTTACTCTCCTGGTAATCACTCTTTGTTGCGATGTGTGCTACTGTTGAGTTGCTGGCTGTTATCGTCTCACATATTGTCGCTCAATTTTGGATCATGTTGATCTCGTCGATTTCTTGTTGCTCTAGTTGTTCATCTAATTTTTGCTCTTGTTTCCTTTGTTGTTGATGCGCCATTTAATGAATCAATTTTTTTCCTTCTGATGCTGTGACTGTTGCTCTTTTTGTAGAAACTTTTGTTGTTTGGTAATAAATTTCTGTAACTCGTCATCATCTACTTTTGTTGTTGTTACGATTGCTAATTTCGTCACTCATTTTTTTCAACATTGTTGTTCCTCCTATTTCGTTAACGCACAATTTGTTTATTTTGCTTTTGTGTTAGTCTTTTTTGTTGTTGCTCTGTTAAGTGAAAGATAAGATGCTTTCATTTCTGGAAATACTTTGCTGCTGTTGTTTTGGTGCCCTGTTGTTATCCAAAGAAATCAGAAGAGACTGTATATGTATCTAAAGAATTTAAAAAGTTTGAAGGATCGAAAGAATTGAAATTTGAAACTATGGCCAATCTGAAGAAACTGAAGAATTTGGGACCTCCGAAAAATAAAAAAAATAAAAGAGTATAAAAGAAAGAGAAAAAAGAGAAAAACGCAAAGAAGCGGAAAAATTAAAAAAAAAAGTAGATCAACCTCAAGGGTAAGAAGAATCCGAGTAACTTTAAGAATCCTCCTCATATCGGTATCATTTGTAACAGGTGTTCGCTTTAGGCGTTATAGATTTTTTAAATTAAATTTGTAAATTTGCCTGTATATGACATTTTATACGTGTACAGCTTCATAAGGAAAGGTGGAAGAACTTATATTCGAGGAAATAAAGTACGTGGAGAAGAAATGAGTGTTTAAGCAGATAAAAGTCGAAATGCTACAGTGTTGCCGGTTCTAAAAACCGCCTCGATAGAGTATGGAAGGGTATTCTCCGCTATATCTACCCATCTAGAAGCAACGCAACCGAAACCCGGTTCTTTGGGGGGTCGTTTCAGTTTTTCAGATCGGCGAATAAATTGTGAAAAATTTGGTGGGAGAGCGGCATTCTTGGTAAAACCTTTGAAAAGAATCTATCCAGGTTGGGCTGTGTAGTTTTAGCTGCAAAACCGCGGAAATATGTAGATCGCATAAAACAAAATTCTTCGCCGGGCTATCAAGGCGAATCATATGAGTGGTTTTTGAGATCGAGTAAAATTTGTGTCAAAATTCTTTTAGGAATGTTTTTAAAGAGAATTTTTCAAAAATTAATCAGAAATTCTCAATGGGGTGCTCGAATGTTTTATGATCCTTATCCTTACGTTATTTAGCGACTGGTATTTTAAAACTTTCAAGCAACCAATTAAAGATCCTGAAAATGCTTGTTTCTAAGAATCTTCGACAATTCTTCAAATATTTCAAAAAACCTAAACCGGTTTGTCTTTGAAGATATTAAAGGACTTTCTCAAAATCATTTGAGACCCGTAGTTTTCAATTTTTGTTACAATGTCATGGTTTAATCTAAATATAATCATGTCTGGGAAGTAATAAGTCAATGTTTGTTGTACGGCAACTCATACGTGATACTCCACATGGAGGATAATTATGTAATCCTATGAATAGCGTTATGTACAGTTTATTCAGTAATTAAGCATGAGTGATTAATTGAAAAGGTTAAGGAAACGAGGAAATACGTTTTAGACAGTCTGCGGTTTTAGTAGGCAGTAAATTTCCACAAATCCGGTATATCGCAAGATTTAATTATCCAAACCTAAAAGGGCACTAATAATCCGCCAATCGATAAACTTGCAAGAAATACGTTGTTGGTGAAAATCCTGAAAATTTATAGAGGGAAGCTCTTCGCACATTTTTGTTTTGTTATCTGAAATGTATGTCAAGTAAAAGCGGTGATGTAAAAACATATTTTTAATTTAATGTTTTATTTTGAAATCTATTTTTATGAACAGCGGGATTTTTACGGACGAGCAATAAACAAAAACAACAAACAAAAGTAATGAGGTGAGCCGTGGTAAGGAATTGGTTAATTTACCTTCTCCTAGACCGAAATTCTGGATTTACTACTAATCCAATAGCAGTAAGCTAGCAAGCTGCAGAAAAAACTCCGCAACTACTGTAAACCAGTGAACTGCAACTATCTGAAATACTTCCCTTTACTTTTCTAGAATGATAAAAATACAAAAGGAGCAAGCGAGAAGGAGTAATTAAT